TAAGGAAATCTGTGCCGACCTTGGCACAGGCTGGGCCTGGAATCCACCAGAGCCCGTCCTCTGAGGGCTGCACACCGAAGCTCACTCTGACAAACTTGGCAGCAGGTGCAAGGACTCCTGGAACGCAGAGCTTTCAAGGCTCTCTGGCTGCTGGCTCCACATGGGAGAGAGTTGTTCTCTTTCTCTGAGGCACCTGTCCCTAATTCTTCTTATCCAGTGTCTGAAAACATTTCTTTCATGTGTTTTCACATGTCTTCTCGTGTTTCCCACTGGATTAGGCTTGGAAGATAAATCTGTTTCCTGTTATTCCAATCATGGCTAGAAGCAGTTCTCAAGACGCTCTCTGATAAGGCCACAGAGCCTCCTGTCCCTCAGGTTTGCACACGGCTCCGTGGGGACCACACAGCCTCCTGTCCCTCAGGTCTGCACCCGGCTCCCTGGGGACCCCATAGCCTCCTGTCCCTCATGTCCGCACACGGCTCCCTGGGGACCCCATGCTCCTCCTGCCCAGAGCTCTCGCTGGGAATGTCAGGCACCCTCTTGGTGCTCAATTAAGGTTCAATCTAACTTGAACGAGAGCACTCACAGGCTCTCCATCTGAGCCACTAGCAAGGATATAAAGGAGACCCACACCTAGGAATGGCTGACGGTGGTGCTGAGTGTGAGGTCCTTGCAGGGAACTGCTGACATCACTGGGGAGATACCTCCAGCCAGTTCGGACTTGCGTTCCCCAAAGCATTTTTGCAGAACATGAGCTGTGAGCACATGAGATCAGGAGTCTGTCTCGGAGCCTCTGACTTCTAAGGTGCACAGTGCTGCACCCACCAGGGGTTCCCCAAGAGGACTTGGCCTAGGGGCTCTTTTCCTGGGGGATGGCATTGCATTCCCCAGGCCTGCTTGGAGTGGGAGGGCAGGGTGGGCTTGGGGGGTCACAGGAACTTCCCCAGGCTGTCCTGTCCCTCCCAGCCCCTCCTACAGCCCCATCCCCGCCACCCTAGGCTTCCCCATCCTCACCCCTGGGGTCCCCGGCCCCTCTCTGGGTCTCCCTGTTGTGCACTGAGTGCACGCCTAGTCCTTCCTGCTCCTGACCCCTCCTGCTTCAGGAAAGTCACGTGGGCCATCGCTTCCCTCCAGAGCTGATGAGATGAATGCAGAGGAAAAGCAAACCGATCAGCGATTCTAGTTCCTAGTCAGTTTCTCTTTCAGAGACATGACTTTGGTCTCATTATGCTATTTTGTAAAAACGTCATGTTGGGTTTTGCTCACTTCTTGATACTGATTTTCTAGGTGAAGGCAAACTTGTTATTTATTTTCAAAGAAGCTTAACTTAAAAGCATTGCCCCTTCAAATCTCCCACCTAACCAAATTCAGAGTATGAGTGCTTAAGAGGGTCACAGGCGTGTCTCTCATGATGGGCACTCCAAGTCACTTTACATAAAGCCTGATATAAAGAAGAGCTCTCGGAACAGGCGCTGGGGACGCTGGGGCGCGCTTGGGCCGTGGGGCAGGCATCCAGGCCTCACTGACACAGGCACTAGTTCTTTAAAGAATAATCCCCACGGTGCCCCACATTTTCCTTTTAATGTTTCAAATCCACGATTTTTAAAATATGAAGAAAGTGAGAATGGTTATGCTTTTTTATGACTTCCAAGGAAGAAACACACTGTTCAAACTCAAGGTGCAATTAGCAAATTCTATACTATTTAAAAGTAACTAGGCCAGGCGTAGGGGCTCATGCCTGTAATCCCAGCACTTTGGGAGGCCAACGCGAGTGGATCACCTAAGGTCAGGAGTTCAAGACCAGCCTGGCCAACATGGCGAAACCCCATTTCTACTGAAAATGTACAAAAATTAGCCAGGCATGGTAGTGCATACCTGTAATCCCAGCTACTCGGGAGCCTGAGGCAGGAGAATCACTTGAACCTAGGAGGGAGAGATTGCAGTGAACTGAGATCATGTCACTGCACTCTAGCCTGGGTGACAGAGCAAGACTCTGCTCTCCCCCCAACCCCCGGCAAAAAAAGGTAACTAATTGTAATAATTACTGCAAAGATGCAGGCATGGGAAAACTTATTTAAAAAGAGTTAGAGCTTACTGTACCTTTAGGATTTTTCACCTTTGTTTGAAGTACTATATGAAACACTATTGGAATTAATTAAAAGCTGAGAATGTTAACACAAATCCTACCACAATTTCCATTAGTCGTATAGGCTATGAGTTAGTAAGTTGTTGGGACCTTCTTTGGTCACAGAGAGACATGAAACATGGCTCACGCTGATACCACGGATGCCCAGTGCTGTCCTGCGCTCCTTCACACTTGGGCTGAGAGAGCCTCGGGTGGCCAGCCCAGCCCAGGGCTGATGATGGGCCATATGAAGATTTCCTTATGGGCCACAAAGGGTCTGCAATGTTTCCTATCATGGGAGTTATTCCCTGTGTGTTTATAGCAAGAAGGGGCCTGAAGTGTAGGCACTCGTGCCAAAATGAATGGTTAGGGATGAGAGAAGCCTGAAGCCACATGCAAGGGTTTTCCCAAGCTCTTACCTACTTTTTTCAAAGTTCCTTTTTTTTCTTCTGCGACAGTCTTGCTCTGTCGCCCATGCTGGAGTGCAGTGGCATGATCTCGGCTTGTTGCAACTTCTATATCCTGGGTTCAAGTGATTCTGCTGCCTCGGCCTCCCGAGTAGTTAGGACTGTAGGCACGTGCCACCATGCCCAGCTAGTTTTTTGTGTTTTTAGTAGAAATGGGATTTCACCGTGTTAGCCAAGATGATCTCAAACTACTGACCTCAGGTGATTCATCACCTCGGCTTCCCAAAGTGCTGGGATTATAGGCATGAGCCACTGCACCCGGCCTAAAGTTATTTTTAAGACCACAGGACAGGCTCATAATACCTTGGGGTGACTGGTGCTAATATGCAGTTGAAGGACATGGAGTCCGAGGCAGGTGCCCTAGGGCTCTTGGTAGCTGTGAGCCCCACAGCTCAGCTGTCCTGAGGCTTTAGAATCTGCCAGAGCCTGGTCTTCCTCTGAAATCTGCATGCACTCAAGTTCACACTGACAAACTCGCAGCAGGTACAAGGACCTGACACACCTTGTGACTTGTCCTTGTGGAGCATGCAGGAGACTAGGGTGCTAACCAGCACTATAGCTGTGTGGCCTGGGAGGGGGGTGAAGGTGCACCGTGGGGGCTGGGGAATCCAGGGAAGCAAGGACAATGGGGACATCTGGCAGTGGTCTAGCTAAGGGGACATCACGTGTGGAGCTGGAGGGCAGAGAGTTCCTGAACACTGGAGACAGAGGGAAAGCACAGACCCAAGTGCTGGCTCTGCGCATGGCAGGGCTCCTCAGACGACTCAGGATGACAGGGTGCCTCTCCGTGATTCTCACTTGGGAAGCAGGGACTTAAGGGACCTCACATGTTTAACAAAAACCTAACACGTGCACAGGCCAACGTTTCCCTGTATTTTGCTAAACTCGTGAGGAATGGATTCAGGGAGCTTGCGGGTGACATGGTGCTTAGAATGCGGACTGAAAAGAGCTCTGCAGAGAGAAGGGACTCTGTTCTCTGCGGGCTGGGAGGGAGCTCGGCGGCTGCGTGATGGTGAGGAGCGGCACCCGGCGCCAGCCCCAATCGCTCAGGTCTGAGCCTGGCCGCCCACGTGCGCATCCCTGAGCTCTCTGGGTCTCTCACTTTTCTCATAAATGAAGTGGGGGCAAGGTGAGGATAAAGGTCTGTTCAACGCTGAGAGCATGTGGCTGTTACTATCACTGTATTTCCTGGGACTCGTTGTGGGGTGGAATCTAGTTAAGGTGGGAATGAGCTTTGCAGAGGTTAGGGAAGTCAGTGGCAGAGGGGAGGCCACTTTTAGTCTGCTGCCAACACGATCAGTCATGCTGATTTCATTTCTAGGCATCACCACAAAGGAGGAAGAAATGAGAAATTCCCACCGATTCTCTCTTCACAGGAAGTTCCTGTTCTGCAGACATGGTCGGCAAAATCAGCTGAGCTTTCAACGCACATCACCTGCCTGCTGCACTTTTGGTGTCCCTTTCTAAGACACTGGTGATGTGAGCTTTACTTTTTTCTTTTGAGATGGAGTCTGGCTCTGTTTCCCAGGCTGGTACGCAATGACATGATCTCAGCTCACTGCAACCTCCACCTCTCAGGTTCAAGCGATTCTCATGCCTCAGACTCCTGAGTAGCTAGGGTTACAGGTGCCCACCACTATGCCTGGCTAATTTTTTGTATTTTTAGTAGAGACAGGGTTTTGCTATGTTGGCCAGGCTGGTTTTGAACTCCTGACCTCAGGTGATCCAGCTGCCTCAGCCTCCCAAAGTGCTGGGATTATAGGCGTGGGCCACCGTGCCTGGCTAGTTTTAGTATTTTTAGTAAAGACAGGATTTCACCATGTTGGCCAGGCTGGTCTTGAACTCCTGACCTCAGGTGATCCTCCCATGCCCACCTCAGCCTCCCAAAGTGCCCAGCCCTGGTGCTGCTATCTTTGAAGATGAGATTCCATTCCTGCCAGGGAGAGACTGGCAGCGTCTGGTTCAAAGCACGCCACACTATGTCACATCCACATCTAAGGAAATGTCCCCAGAGTTTCTGAGTGCTCTCTGCTGCTGCCTGCCCACACCACAGTGGGATGAAGCCGAGCAGAGAGCCTGCAGAGAGCCGGGAGGGCCTGGCTGTGGCCACTCTGCCCCTCCTCCTTATGCCATGGGACCCTTTACAAGTCTCAGATCCAACACAATTCCTGACACATACTATGGCTTCCACTTGAAAACAAAATCTAATGAGAGAATCCCAGGAGGAACAAGTATACAGGTGCTATCTTGAAGTTTACCCAAGTGAAACACGGTTTTTATGTTAGTATTAGTCAATCTAAATGACGACTGCAACAGGAAGGACTCAAAAGCAATCTTCTACATGTGGTCTTCTTTTCAAAATAAAAGTCCTCCCCTGGATGAGCTGGCAGGTGCTGAGTGTCACTTACCCCACCATGAGGAAGCCCTGGTACAAAGGGACGGATGCGAAGTAGAAGACCGAGGAAAACACAGCCTGGAGAGAGCCCACAGACAAAGAGAGCCGTCAGTCCCAGCAGCCGCTGGCACCAGGCCTCTAACTCCCAAGCACAGCCCAGGTACTCCTGCAGCACCTGGCAATGCCCTCTCCCAGCCTCCTGGCCCCTGCCCTCCATGGCACGCATGCAGAAGGCTCGGTACCTGCATGGTGGAGATGATGAGGCCCCTGTGCATGACGAACTGGCCGAGTGCCGCCGACCTCTTGTAGCTGTTCCGCCCGTGCACCATGAGCAGCCTGCCGATGTGCCGGAACTGCGTGACAGAGAAGTCGGCCGCCAGTGAGGCCTGCCTCCCCTCCTGAAAGACAAGCATGCAGGGCCCTTTTCAAACACTGTGGACACTGGAAATCAGACTCCAAAAGCTGAGTTTTACAACTGAGCCTTAATTTTACCAAGACTGAAGTTCTGTCTGCAGGACTTTAAAAGCTTCAGCTACGCCGATGGGACAGGTCCGCTGGTCTCAGGCACAGGGGCAGGGAGGCCCCCAACACCAGCCCGGGCTCTCTCAAACGCTTTAGGAGAGCTTGGCTCCGACAGCCCGAGGGTGTCACAGGAGTCAGCAGAGCAGCAGTGCCCGGGCCAGCACTATCAGAGGACATCCCGGGCCAGCACTGTGGGAGGATGCCCCTGTGATCTGAGCCCAGGCCAGCCCTGTTGAAGGACACCCCAGTGATCTGAGTCCCTGTGATCTGAGCACGGGCCAGCCCTGTCAGAGGACACCCCTGTGACCTTGGGCTTCTTCAAGACAATTCTCCATTTTTCCATATTAAAAAAACAAATCAATCTCCTCTTTCATGACACTGCCATAAGGCGTTACAAAATAAAGTAGCCAAGGAAAAAGCCACGCTTGCTTGAGCTGGGCTAATTTTCCAGGTCTTTCTGGGTATGGTCGTATTAATATTTAAGTGAGAAAGAAGTAACATAAATAAGGCTGGCAGAGGAGGCAAACCTCAAACTCTAGCTCAGCCAGACACAGGCAACTACCAAGAGAATGGCGTGTGTGAAACAGGAGGGCAGCCACGAAAAGGCTCGCTGTGGGGTTTGCTAACATCTGAGCTGAGCCCTGGAGCAGGTGACTATGAGTGACACCTTCCTGCCAGCCACTCTGCCAACAGCAAGGGCACCGAGGGCTGCGCTGTAACGCACGTGGCAGGATCGTCTTTATGAGATGTGGGGTCAAAGCGGGAGACTCTGACCAATTCCTCCTGCACTCAAATGTACAGTTCAGTGCCAAGCACACACCAGACTCTTCAGGATGTGCTGACCACACGTGCTGACCAAGGGCACCTTCACCGAGCATGTGTCGAGTATGTGCTGATTGTGCACTGAGCACGTGCTGATGTGCACTGACCGAGTAGGTGCTGAGCACATGCTGACGTATGCTGACCAAGTGTGCGCTGAACACGTGCTGACGTGTGCTGACCGAGTGTGCGCCAAGCACGTGCTGATGGGTGCTGACCGAGTAGGTGCTGAGTGTACAAATGACCCAGCATGTGCTGAGTTGTGTCGATGTGTCCTGATATGTTGAGAGACCAAAGGGCAAACCTACCTTTCCCTCAATCCCAATCCCACAGTCTGCTGCCTGAATCATGCTTACATCATTTCCTCCATCACCTGCGAAACAAGAAAAGTTGTGAGATAAAATAAAACCCCATCCATCATCATGTTTTTCGTTTTTACCATCAGAGGCTATTTCAGAAACTTCCATTAATGGAGATGAACTCAATCTAGTTTCAGGGGTGGAAGGAAGCGTGCCCATCAGTGTCAGGCAGCGCGCTTCTCTGGAGGCCTCCCGTGAGTGGGGTGGCGCTCACCGATGGCGCAGGTGCGTCTCCCCGTGTGCTGCTGTAGCAGTGTCACAATGCAGGCCTTCTGGGTGGGCGAGCAGCGGCAGCACACCACAGCGGGGCACTGGCAGGCCAGCTCCATAAATTCGTGCTCGTAATACTTTAGACAAACCTGGAAAACAGAGCATGGGTGATTTTGCCTTACTGCTGACAACACTGTCCCAGATTTGTGTCATGGAGAAAGTGCAAAACCCTGGGCGCAAAGCCAACAGACACCACAGCTCCCAATCTTTCAGTATTCTGTGAATCATTTCATGAGACTCACAGGCAGGGGAAACTCTGTAAATCATGGGAAGAAATTCTATGTAACATGGAGCCATCCTTCTCCTGCCCAGGGACGCTCTTCCACTTGTACCAGAGAGAATGCTCCGTGCCTTGAGCCTTCTGGTCTTAAGCCCGCAGTAGATGAGACAGCAATACAGCCTTGGCTACGTCTTTGCTGAGGGAGGCGTCTGATCCCCTCCCCTGGAATCCAGGCTGCCTTAGTGACTTTGTTGAACAATGTCATGTGACACACCAGTGGCATTCTGAGCCAGCTTCTGCCACATTTCTTGGAGTGCTTGCTCTGGGGATGCTAGCAACACAGAGGTCTGGGATGATTAAGTCCAGAAGCCTGTGCAAAAGCTGTGCAGGGAGAGGCTCCCGCCAGTCCTGGCGCCATAGTTCCCTCAGCTGGGGCCACACGTGAGGGAAACGCAGCATGAAGCTACTTTGGACATTCCCTCTGGCGGACGTGATGTGGAGCGCACAAAGAGCCAGAACCCAGGCACTGGCCAGGCTCCAGCGGCTCTCTCCCAGGCCTCCTGCGGAACGTTTCAGGCTCTCTCCCCAGGCCTCCTGCGGAACATTTCAGGCTCTCCCTGTCTAAAGGAGGAGTAACAATCACCGGGACCCAGCCCTGACACCTGCCCAGGCTGCAGCTGCTTTCCAGAGTGGCAGACACCACTGCTGCGAAATGGAAAACTGCCTCAAAATTGCACAAACGGGCAAAACTTGCCTCAGAGACACAGACAGAGAGACAGACATGGACTCACTCAGGGTCCATCCTTGCCTCAGAGACACAGACAGAAAGACACCCTCAAGAAACCCTTGGCGCATGGGAATGGAAAGACAAATACACTCGCAAAGGAATCAGCCCTGCCTCAGACAGACAGATAGACATTCGGCCAGGGACCAGCCTTGCTTCAGAGACACAGATAGACAGACAGAGAGACAGACAGACATGCACCCACTCAGGATGCCAAACTTGCCTCAGAGACACAGACAGACAGAGAGACAGACGTGGACTCACTCAGGGTCCATCCTTGCCTCAGAGACACAGACAGAAAGACATGTACTCAGGGTCCAGCCTTACCTCCAGAGACACAGGCAGACAGAGAGACAGACGTGGACTCTGTACTCAGGGTCCAGCCTTGCCTCAGAGACACAGACAGAAAGACATGTACTCAGGGTCCAGCCTTACCTCAGAGACACAGGCAGAAAGACATGTACTCAGGGTCCAGCCTTGCCTCAGAGACACAGGCAGACAGAGAGACAGACGTGGACTCACTCAGGGTCCATCCTTGCCTCAGAGACACAGGCAGAAAGACATGGACTCAGGGTCCAGCCTTACCTCAGAGACACAGGCAGAAAGACATGGACTCAGGGTCCAGCCTTACCTCCAGAGACACAGGCAGAAAGACATGTACTCAGGGTCCAGCCTTACCTCCAGAGACACAGACAGACAGAGAGACAGACGTGGACTCATGGACTCAGGGTCCAGCCTTACCTCCAGAGACTCCCCAGATATAACCAAGGCACAATCATGTTTCCTTCTAAATGCATTCAGCTCCAAATGCGCCTCTCCCCGACTGGTTACCTCCATTAAGGGAGAAAAAAGAATCCCCAATTAAAATGTTGTCTAAATTAGAGGCACAGAGAACAGGGCATGATTTCAGAGTCACAGTGGAATGTTTCGGGCTATCTAAAAGCAAAGGAGCTTCAGTACTTGGACCTAGAAGAAGGTCCTCTCCAGTCCCTCTGGCAGTGCGGGGGGTGTCTACCCTCTCAGTGAAGAATGCAGCGGAATCACCGCTCTGATGAGATTTTAAGTCAAGGGTGCCCACGAGTTAATCATTACCTTCTGGATAGTTTGCGAGGGTAATTAATTGGCTTTTATAAATGCACTCCCTTAACATACAATGATAACGATGAAGAATTTTCTTGTAATTTCCACGAGGTGATTATTTAACAGAGTGGCAGGCAGGGGTGCGTCGCTGTGGGGGCTGCTGCTGAGTCACTGAGTTGCAGTGCCAGGAACACAGCTCTGTATGAGGAGGCGTCCACCCTTCGAGCACCGGAGCCCAGGGAATGAGCTGCTCATCACCACACACCGGGTGGGAGACAGGACGCTCTGAATCCGAGGCGTTGTGTAAACTTTCCGTAACAGGTCAAAGAATGCAAAATGCTTAATTGCTTGCACTGTCTCTGCTGTGGGTTTCAACTTATTCCATTAGTTTTTATTCGGTGTCTGAGGGACTTTTAAAAAACCTAAAGGAGTCAAATTAAGTCCTAATCTCGAAATATCATTCATTTTAGAACAAAAAACATTTCGAAAAGCCAATGTAACTGGTTTTTCACATTCTTTCTGCAGAGATTTTATGGAGCATGAAAGAAATGATCTATTAATAGTCCTAATAACAGGACTGAAATAAATGAAAAGCTTCATGTGGTTCAAATTAACCGTCTCAGACTCATCTTTAAATAGGCAGGTTTTACTGTGAAACAGTTAATTTGTGGTGCTATAACACTGAAAAGTCAACAAAAATCGATCTGAAGTTTTATCAGAAGCATTAATCATTTAATTGCAAATAGTCGTCTTCAGGGCCTGATTTGTGATGCTGATGCTTCAAAACACTCCATTTACATGTAAATTGTATTCAAATAACTCCTTCTGTAGGTACAAGTGCTTCCTTTAGAGCAGACAGACACAGAATGTCTGTTCACCCACTATCAATCAAGACCCAAGAAATTTTTATGTTTTGTTTGAATTAAATTTAGTCATAGCTAATACATACAGTAAACACATAAACCTAGATCATTTCTGTGAATTTTCTTTGAATGAATGAAGGCAGCACTTGCTCTGAAAATGGCAGTGATTAAGGGCATATTCCTAGTTTGTATTTATGGCTTGTTTCACAGCAGCAGCTCTGGACAACATGTAATATGCATAAATGGTAGGATAATGCAATTTTTCATCAATATACATTTTTGCAAATTGAAAATGATTACAGTATGTCTCTTTTAAAATAGCAAAAAATAATATAATAGTATACCTGAGAAACACCTTTGAACTTAGAGCTCGCTCACGCTGTCGAAAAGAAGCTTTTGATCATAATTGACGTATGTGTCTAAAAACCATCTATTTTTAACATGGTTTCATAAATTAAGAAAACAATCACAATATTTATTTACAAAGGTATTTAGTGATTAATAAATAACTCCATATCTATCCTGACAAAAACAACAGGCTTTATTTGTGAGACAAGCGTTCAAAGATTCGAGGTGATTAAGATGCACACTTACCCGTCTGAAGATATGAGTGTCCTGTGTCCGAGGCACCAGGCGTGAGCTCTGGGCCACACAAGTGGCTGTCTCCAGTTTGTCGCCCGTTAGCATCCATACCTAGGAAGCAACTGCAGCTGGTGACTCAACAAGACAAGGACACGCTCATTCCCAGCATCTCACAGCAGCCTTATTCCCCGCAGCCAAAAGGCGGAAGCAACCCAGGTGTCCATCAACAGACAAACGGAGAAGCAAAACGTGCTCCAGACGTACGAGGGAGTATTACTCAGCCTCAGAAAGGGTGGACACTCTGACACAGGCACAGTGTGGATCAACCTTGAGGGCACTGTGCTGAGTGAAAGAAGCCAGTCATGAAAGGACACATACTGTGTGATTCCATTTACATGCAGTCCCTAGGGCCATGCAACCCATAGAGAAGCAAGTAGATGTGGGTGCCAGGGTCTGGGGTAAGGGGGTGGGGAGATGGAGAGTGTTTCTGTGTAGGAAGATGGATCAGCTCTGGAGGTGGATGGCCTGCAGAAAAGGCGGCCAGGCAGACTGAAACAAAGTCATGTTCTGTACTTTCAACCACAACCAAATGGTATCTGAGCTTTTCGCTGAAACAAGAGATCAGTGATGTGCAGACACGGCAGCCGAGACGCGGCGGCACGCAAGTAACACCCGGCCCGGCAGTGCAGGCCAAGTCTCAAAAGGGTAGCAGTGAGTGTGAAATGCACTGTCCACACAGCATTCTGCACCAAGCACACAGGTCTGCCCAGGCGGCACACGACCAGGGTCTGCCAGGCTAGGAGGCTCATGAAGACCTTTACTGTAGTTTGCCAGTTTTTCAGTTGGAAGCAGAGGTTCAATGGGTAAATGGCCCATAGTCAAGCCTAAAGTTGTTTATGTCAAATAAAACGTGTCAAATAGTAACTTTACATTTAAAAACTGCATACCCCCGCCCATCTTATTATTCCTAGACAAGAGAGAGAGTAAAATCTCAGGATGTTTAATACGTAAGAGGATGCTTGATATACATAACAGCAAGGAACTTCAAGTCATACTCTCAGTAGCTGAATTTCTCATTTCTTACGTATCATATTGAAATATGCATTTCTGGAAACAAAACAGAAAAACTTCTACTTTGTACCTATTATCTGCTTAAGCACATGCTGCCTGGGGCTCTTCTCCAGGTCTAAGATTTGTGCCTTTTATTTATTTCACAGACTTAGATTCATTTACTGGACTGACTGATGACAACGCTGAAGAGCTGGCGCTGCAGCAGCCTCAGTGCGACTCAGGAAACACAGTGAGGTCCAGCTGAAAACCACCTCGGAGTTCTCGGCATCAGGTAAAGAATAAAGAGCAGAACTCGAGAAAGTCATGTAACTTAGCCAATAATTAATGTAAATATCCAAATTTGACTACAAGGGATATTGACTACTTTAATAAACTAGTAACCTAGCACATACAAAGTAAGAAGTCACTGAGGTGAGTTGACCACTAGGTTACAGTGACATGCACGGGTCATCTGCTCGCGCAGTCACATGTCCAGCACAGACGGGTCTTGCCAGGAACTCCGGGGCTCCAGTGAGCCCTGCCTCAGCCTCCCGAGTAGCTGGGATCCCAGGCACATGGCAGCACTCCGGCTCATCTGCTCTTGTTAATCACACTTCTTCATTCAGCGTTTTGGCTGCACAAAACAATTAAGCCTAAACTTCCTGAGTCAGAATTTTCTCTTGTAATTTTGAATTCCTACCTGAACAATTACTCCGAAACCAGACAGAGCCTCATGACATACTTCTGACTACGATCTCAAATGTATATCAAATCTTTCGAGTCTCAGCCCTGCAGACTTCCAGAGAGCAAGGAAGACCGCTGCCTATTTTCTGTCTACAGCACAGCATCTTCATCCAGACTTTGGGGGATGGCTTTTTGATCTGACTTGTGACACTGCCCTTCAGTTCTGTCCCTCTAGTCGGGCTACACTACTTTTCTCTTAAATACCAGTTATGCTTCTTCCATCCTGAGCCCCAGGTCCTTGAGGTAGTGCTAAAATTATCCTAACCAATCTGCAGTTGACTGTATAGCTTCAGTGAGAAGATGTGAGAAAAGCTCCTGAAAAATGAAACTTACACCACAAGGGCTAATTTCCCCTAAACAGGAAAAGGACACATCAGAAAACGAAAGAACCAGAGAGCAGGTCATTGGGCAGGGAGTGTACGGCCTGCCACACAGCATCGGGGGGAACCGCCGAGAAGCATGGTCAGGATGCCTTACCTCTCCCATCCAAGAAACACACTCAAATTTCGCAGACACCATATTTAAACTACCAAGGACCACACAGCTGGATGAGATGGGGCACTGCTTGCTGGGAGCACAGGGAAGGCGGCACTGCCTGCTGGGAGCACAGGGAAGGCAGGCACTGCCTGCTGGGAGCACAGGGAAGGCGGGCACTGCCTGCTGGGAGCACGGGAAAGGTGGGCACTGCCTGCTGGGAGCACAGGGAAGGCGGGCACTGCCTGCTGGGAGCACGGGAAAGGTGGGCACTGCCTGCTGGGAGCACAGGGAAGGCGGGCACTGCCTGCTGGGAGCACGGGAAAGGTGGGCACTGCCTGCTGGGAGCACAGGGAAGGCGGGCACTGCCTGCTGGGAGCACGGGAAAGGTGGGCACTGTCTGCTGGGAGCAAGGTGGGGGTGGAGGCACAAGCCATGCAGCCGAGGTGGAGAGGGTGTCCTCTAGCTACAGAGAAGGTGCTGGGAAAGAGCACAGAGCCAGATGGAGGACAAGCAGCTTCACGCCTGCCCCTCATGTCCAGGCGTCTCTGGGATGGGCTCTTGCTGCTGAGCCCAGGGACTGAGCAGCAGTAAGAAGCAGCTTCCACCGGGTGTCCCTTCGTCCCTTTGTGCTGAGTTTGTGTCAATGTGGATGCACTACTCCTTGAAAAACATCAAGAAAATGAATGGATGTAGTGCATGTCTGAATATTCTATCTTCTCAACTCTAATATGGCCTGAAGCAAGAGATGATTCCAAATGTGGCACAATTTATCCGAGAATAAAGGCAAAGCCCACGTGAGGTCTGAATTCTCATGCAGTCCCACCTCATGGAACACTGGACGTACCAGAGCAGTGAGAGCTCGCAGGGGAGGCACACAGGCTCTGGCAGGAGGGGCCAGGCTCCACAGGGAACACAGCGGCCCAGTGTTGCCAGATGCAGGGTTCTGCCAGGTGTGACGGGCACTGGCCCCATGCATCCTGTGAGGGGTATATAACCATCCCTGGGAAATGGCATGTGCCAGGTGTGACGGGCACTGGCCCCATGCATCCTGTGAGGGGTATATAACTATCCCTGGGAAATGGCATGTGCCAGGTTTGACACTGTGAGGGCCGGGGCCAAGGCTCCTCTTTAGAAAGGCTGGGGTGTCTGGAGAGGGAAGAGGTGTAGAGAGGAAGGTCTGGAGTGGGGCAGTGTGGGGATTTTTGTTTGCTCCAGCTGCAGATGTTCCTGAGGAGGGAGGGGAGCTCGTGAGCAGCTTTGCTTACACAGCTCAGAGTTTCACAGTTCAGCATGCCCAAGGAAAAGCACTGTTTACTTCAGCAAAAGCAGCGTGGACCACCAGAGGTGAGCCCACGGTACCTTGATCCCAGCATTGCGCAGCATCTCCAGCGTGGGCCGCACGTCTGCCTGCAGCTGGTCCTCCACGCCTGTGAGGCACAGCAGCTCCATCTCCCTCTCCAGGCTCTCGATTACTGCAGCCACCTTGAGGGTCCTGTCGTGCATGCTCAGCTTGGCTTGAGTGTACCGGCTCTGGGGACAGATGGGGAGACGCCTGTGTGCACATGTGTACGCACTCCGTGTGCACACCACAGAGCTGCGTGGGCTCTGGGGACAGAGGCGGAGACGCCTGTGTGCACATGTGTACGCACTCCGTGTGCACACCACAGAGCTGCGTGGGCTCTGGGGACAGAGGCGGAGACACCTGTGTGCACACCACAGAGCTGCGTGGGCTCTGGGGATAGGGGGAGATGCCTGTGTGCACATGTGCTCCGGGGGCAGAAGCGGAGACGCCTGTGTGCACATGTGTACGCACTCCGTGTGCACACCACAGAGCTGCATGGGCTCTGGGGACAGGGGGAGATGCCTGTGTGCACATGTGTACGCACTCCGTGTACACACCACAGAGCAGCGTGGGCTCTGGGGACAGGGAGATGCCTGTGTGCACATGTGTATGCACTCCGTGTGCACACCACAGAGCTGCGTGGGCTCTGGGGATAGGGGGAGACGCCTGTGTGCATGTGTACGCACTCCATGTGCACACCACAGAGCTGCGTGGGCTCTGGGGACAGGGGGAGACGCCTGTGTGCACGTGTACGCACTCCATGTGTACACCACAGAGCTGCATGGGCTCTGGGGATAGGGGGAGACGCCTGTGTGCACGTGTACGCACTCCATGTGCACACCACAGAGCTGCGTGGGCTCTGGGGACAGGGGGAGATGCCTGTGTGCACGTGTACGCACTCCGTGTACACCACAGAGCTGCGTGGGCTCTGGGGATAGGGGGAGACGCCTGTGTGCACGTGTACGCACTCCATGTGCACACCACAGAGCTACGTGGCCTCTAGGGACAGGCGGAGACGCCTGTGTGCACGTGTACGCACTCCATGTGCACACCACAGAGCTGCGTGGGCTCTGGGGACAGGGGGAGATGCCTGTGTGCACATGTATATGCACTCCGTGTGCACACCACAGAGCTGCGTGGGCTCTGGGGACAGGCAGAGACGCCTGTGTGCACATGCTCTGTGTGTACTCAGCTTGGCTGGACTGTTGATACTTAGGAGTTATCAAGCACAATTCTAAGGAAACTGACACTTCTTTGCTTCTGTGACCCTCTTGTCCCAGAAGCCTGGAGAAGTGGTGGAAGCAGAAACGCAGAGGATCACCCCATGCTCCTGCTGAGGGAAGCTGCCTTCACTCCTAGACTACAGCAATCCCAGCTCTAATTTCATACAAAGACAGGAGGAACTAATTTCAGTGGGAGGAAAGAAGTGTCGTATGAGGATGGGGTGGCTGGGAGTCAGCTCACCTCAAAGTCCTGGTACTGCTCTTCTGTCAGTGACTTCTTTGCAACCACGAGGGTCCGCAGTCCTTCGCGTGCCATGTTTCCACACTGGAAAAGGAAAGGCCGAGTCACGGGCGGGTCCCGCAGAGTCCCTGCAGCCATGTGTGGGACCGGGGCAGCACCACTCTGCCTGCTGGTGACCTCTTCTCATGCCCTGCACCCTACCTTCATCACCAAGGCCAGAGATGACTCAGCAGAGGGACGCCTTTACAGACAATGTATCCTTTTAACCTTACCATCTGTCTGGTATCTCTAATCCCATTGACCCCTTCACTGGAGAGACGAAGAAGATGCTGGATGGAGGTGGGGCACACCCCACTGGGGCTCTCCTGGTGCCCAGCAGAGCTTCTTTCTACCGTAACACAGGCTTTTCAAAAAACCATATTCTGAATCCTTAGAACACCACCACTCCAGAGTGTGGACACCAGACTGCATGTAGCAAGCACACACAGGGGGGTGCATGTGGCAGTGCCAGGGATGGGGTGAGGGGAGCTACTGGTGCTAGGGAGGGCACGGGGGGTGCATGCAGCAGTGCCGGGGATGGGGTGAGGGGAGCTACTGGTGCCAGGGAGGGCACAGGGGGTGCATGCAGCAGTGCCGGGGATAGGGTGAGGGGAGCTACTGGTGCCAGGGAGGGCACGGGGGGTGCATGCAGCAGTGCCGGGGATGGGGTGAGGGGAGCTCCTGGTGCCAGGGAGGGCACGGGGGGTGCATGCAGCAGTGCCAGGGATGGGATGAGGGGAGCGTCTGGTGCCAGGGAGGGCATGGGGGATGTATGCCACGGTGCTGGAGATGGAGTAAGGGGAACACCTGGTGCCAGGGAGGGCACAGGGATGCATGAGGTAGTGGTGGGACGGGGTGTGGGGAGTGTCTGGTGCCAGGGAGGGCATGGGGGATGTAGCAGTGGTGCTGATGAGAGGGCAAGGGGAGCGACTTGTGCTGCCCAGGAAAAGTGCTGAGAAACGACCCAGGCACATCTGCAGGCTCAGAAACGCATGACGCTGTGCACACATACGTGTCATGGCCTCCCAGTCATGCGCAGAGACCCTGTCATCGCCCTTCACCTATCTGCTCATCAAGGTCATTCTGGAGGCAAATTAACATGATTGAATTCTTCATATTTTTTGCAATTTCTTTTTAATTTATCCAGTTTATTGGATTTGATACAGATTTGGAGGCTGCAGGGACAGCAGGAGGGGCTGGAGAGACCCTGGGTCTAGCAACCCCTTCACACCCGCCAGCTGTGTCTCTTCCTCTCCTGTTTAGGAGTCGGAATAGTGACCTCTATAGGGTCATGTGTCACAGGAGACAAAGGAGGTGACAATCACTGTGAATTGCAGTCAAGGCTGCCATCCCATTAGACCTCCCGTCATTCCCGGTTTTAGCTACAGATGACTCTTCCACAACATGGATTTGAGCCTTGTGGGTCCACTTTTACACAGATGTTTTTCAGTAGAGCTCAAGCAGAGAAACTGCCACTCCTGCCTCCCCTTCCACCTCCTCCACCTGCTCTGCCTCTGCCCTCCTGAGAGAACCAGACCCATGCTCCTCCTCCTCAGCCTCCTCCACCTGAAGATAGTGAAGAAAGTCTTCACGACGACCCACTCCCACTTGCTCAAGAGTAGAGACATTTTCTCATCCTCGGGACTTTCTTAACAACACTGTCTTTTCTCTAGCTTACTTTATTGTAAGGATGCGGTACACAACCCACAGAACACGCATCAGCGTTATTCCACCTATCCACATCTCTCGTGTGGCTTCAGTCAACAGGAGGCTATTGGTAATTAAGTGCTGGGGAGTCAAGAGTGACAGGCTGATTTTCAGCGGTTCCGGGGGCTGGAGCCCTGACCCTCGTGTTCCCGGTTCACCTGTACTTGTTTGTTTACGATACGATGTCCAGTGCCTAACTCAAGTTTGTGTTTAGAGGGAAGGAAGCCGACCACCTCACACCTCCAGTCATCCAGAACATCACTATTTCAGGTCTGTGCACAGACCTACATATTCTTACATCTCAGGTTTTCAGAAACTAGTCCTTTCTGTTACGTGATCATTGAAAAGTTTTGTTTTTGTTTTTTTTTTTAACACTTGGAGAACACAGGTTGACAGCCAAGAATTCAGTTCTGGAGGAGGCTGATGGAAGCAGAATGACGCACTTTGAACCCAGGCTCGAAGAACCTGCTGTTTCATTTCTTTTTAAAGACAAGGAAAGGCTTTCAACACTGTAGTCATATCACAACAAAGACACTGATGAAGGGCAAACCATTTATCCAAGGAAAGAAAATAGAATGTGAGAAAATAAATGTACATAGAATTTTTAATAGTTATCTTTGTGAAACACATTCTAACATTATCTGTCTGCTGTAAGACATTTATTGATCTGACCTCATAAAGCTAAATAAAGTAAACAAGTATTTTACAATTACCTGCACGTCATTATGACCAAAAGTATTTTTTATGGCATTTTACTAGGTCTTCAGGGAGTTTAATTTATTCATGTCCTTGATGAAATCAGAGTGCCCTGAAGGAGATATTGATTCATATTGCCAATACCACTGCAAATGCCAGGGCGTGGGGGGCGCGGACACACCGTCCCTGCTGTCAGGGAAGGAGGAGAGACTGGGTTCCGACAGCCACATGCACACAGGAGAAAGGGCCACGTTCACAATGACAAGTCTCCGATGTACTGGGAAACGCAACTACTCATTAATGCATCAACTCGGCGATAAACTACATCATCCCGTGAGGCATCTGCAAACGTTTATCTAAGGAGAATGTAACCAAATATGGGACTGCTTACGTTTGCAGCTCAGGTTCCATTTTTAAGTGAATCTTATGCACACTTTAGCATTAGGTTAAAATTCTAATAAAAATCTCCTTGCAAATATTTATGTCACAAAAGAAATACATTAAAATCTAACTTTGATTACATATAAGTATTATTTCAGAATAGTGAATGATAATCCTTTCCATTTCTCACTATTACACACAAAATCTTCTCTGTAAGGACCTACTTGTATAGATCGATGTGCACTCACACACAAAACAAAAATGATAATTATATAGAAAGTAAACTACTTATAATTAAATAGGACTCCTGCTTTTTGTGCTATATGAAACTGAGAACTGTAAGCGTTTAAAATAGTTTAGCAGAAAATGATACTGTGTTTGACAACCTATGTGGCTTCCATCAGCATCTGGTTTGACATTTTGACAGCTCAATTTATTTCAATGATACCAGTGCCTACCAGCTGGGGGAAGGCTATCATTTTTCTGTCATCTATTCAGTAAATTTCATAAAAGCACTGTGAACAACACTGAGAATCACTCCCTTACCTCCTCTTCCAGCCAGTCATTGTACTGCACGATGGTGGACATGGCCACATCAGCGCCCTTCATGTAAAACGTGATTTCTGCTGTGGATTCATCCTATCATGGAACAGAGATAAACACAGGCACATTTAGGCTGCAGTGCTCAGTGCAGATAACTGCCAGTCCCATAAAACACACATGGGAAAAGCCATTCCTAGTGAGCGTGCTCTGCGTGGTGAGCTCCTCACTCATCTTCCACGCGGAGGACTGGACCCTCTCTCCGGTGCTGGTGTGACCAGGACTGAGAACCAACTGTGTGTCTTGAGACATTGAAGTGTTTGAATGTGTTAACAAATAAATGATTTGGGTTGCATTCTCTTAAACTTTTATAGTTTGATTTAATGCTTCACTGTTTAATCAACTTTCAAGATAAGATTTTGGTGTTTGCTAAAAAAAAATTAAAGTCTATTTTAGCAACTTTATGGTCATAAATCAATGTTTAAAAGTGAAACTCTTTGGCGTGTTATTTTTGTTGAAATCAAAACAGCTTTAGTTGATTTCAAAAATTAATAATTCCCACCCACATTACTGATTCAGCCTTAGTTGTCTCAGGAGAGTTATTTTCACACTAGAGACACACTAGAGCTTTGCAGACAGTTTATTAGCTTAGATTTCATTAAAAAACAACTGTAACAGCATAAAGCACTTGAGTAAATATTTAACTTTCTTTTGGGAAAATCTGTGTCTAAACGGCCTGAAAACGAAACGTCTGAAGCCATGGTGTAGCACCCTCATCATAGGCCTGGGAGCAGGCGAGCTGCAGCCTCACCCTCACAATGATGCCCATCCGCTTGCTCTCGGACGTGAAGGGGAACAGCTGCAGGATGCAGAAGCTGAGGACCTGGCCACCAGGGGTCTTCAGCTGCATAGAGGTGAGGTCCCTGCTGACCAGCGTGAGGCCCACACTCTCTGTCCACTGCACCAGAGCGACCTATGGGAGAGCAGCAACACATGAGCTCACCACTGCCTCGGGAAAGCCTCATGGAGGCCACAGCACATGGGTGGTTAGAAAGCTGGCCAACATGAGAACTTCAGAAATACTTAGCTGTTCAGAACTTTTTGTTTTTGCGGCTAAGTATACACTTTTGAATGACATTTTCTAGAGGAATATTGAGCAATACAACAAAAGTCCCTTGGTATTATTCTTTAAAATGAAGACCATTATGGATCATAAAGACTTCCTTTACAATTTGTGTTAATTGCTCCCTAGAGCCACATGGTTTTAAAACCGAGAATGCAATTCACCACATCCATCTCCGGTGGGTGCGGGAGCAAGTTAAACAACTTTTCAAGGTTCCTCCCTCCCTGGTCCCACGGACTCCATGAAAGGACAAACAGTCTGAATCTCTTGTTTATTTATTTATTTAATTAACTGCATTTTTGGTTTTGGGGTACATGTGAAGAATGTGCAAGATTTTTGCATAGGTACACACATGGCAGTGTGATTTGCTGCCTTCCTCCCCATCACCTATATCTGGCATTTCTCCCTATGCTCTCTCTCCCCAACTCCCCACCCCCCGCTGTCCCTCCCCTATTCCCCCCAACAGACCCCCGTGTGTGATGCTCCCCTCCCTGTGTCCATGTGTTCTCATTGTTCAACACCCGCCTGAGTGAGAATGTGCGGTGTTTGATTTCTGAATCTCTTGTTTGTACTACTTTTTTCTAAAATAAGAGATAAACTGGTGAGTAATTAATGTATCTACAAGTAACATTTGCAAATTTAAAGGAGACAAAATAGACAAGGAAAAGCAGACCTGGGCCCTAAGCCCAAGTGTGAAAGCTATGGCCTGGTCTTCATTCCGCTGGGCATGCTCCTCTCCTGTCAAGTGGAAAAATGTACTTCCAAATGGTTTTGAGGCCAAAATAACATGAGTGATTCCCTGGCATATAGCAGGTACTGAAAAACAGAATGTGTTCTCATTGATAATTATTTATTGATTTATTAAATGCTAACAGTCACAAGTAGAAGAGCAATTTTTAACATTAATCATTTGTAAGCAGTACTACGACAGTAAGTGTTTTCTGATCAAAGTCTGTCTTTAAAAGCAACCTCCTACCAGATGTTAATTAGATAAACATGACATACCAATCTTGCTATGCAGCTAAATGTCACCAACCCTGAGAGCAGGCTCTCTGAACATCCTACCACGCTGCAGGGATGAGATGCCACACCCACAGGATGGCCCAATCACATGGCCACTTTCATCAGGGTCCCTCTCTGCTCTGCAGGCTGGCTGCCACCCACAGTGCTCAAGTCTCTCATGGCCTGGGCGAGGCCTCCTCTGAAACCCCACCTTATTCTCAGCTCCCTCTCCCAAAGAACGGGTCCTCGCCTTCAGTTTTAACCACCACCTCACTCTCAGCCAAACCATTTTAAACTCTTGGGTTCTAGAACGCAAGTCACTTCAGGAATATTTTAAATACTGCCTAGTGTCTAGGACATGGTTAAGTCAACTGTGGGTCCTGAACATTCCTGTGAGGATAGGTTCCCATGCTTAGAGAGCTCTGGCTCTGCAGCTAGCTGCTCAGGTTGGGATCAGACACTGGGCAAATGGCTGCTGCTCTTCGATGCCAGGGTCCTCGTCTGTAGGACAGCCGTGCCCGAGGCACCACTCAGAGCTGCAGTGAGGATTCGAGAAATGAGGTGTGAGGGCACGCAGTGGACCGTCAGTACAGCAAGGCCCCGTGAGGATGCCAGGGCTCCATCTTCATCCTCTTACAGAAGCCCTCTAGACACGTGCTCATGGGCAGACCAGAAAGCACTTTTAAAATCAGATTTTCTAAGCAATTCCCCAGACGTCTGACCACAGAATACCTCCAGCATGACTTTCCAGAGTCTGAGGGTGAAAAACTGCTTCCTTTCTTTTCATGCTTTAAACTCCACGCAGCAGAGCACCGTCAGGGGCGGGGTGTGCAGAGATAACAGAAAATGACCTACCACCATGTCTCTTCCAGGCTTCGGAAAAGCTGTGTGCACGTGGCAGGTGAGGAGTGCTGGAGTGAAGCCAGGGGTCATGACGGTGTCAGCAGTGCTGCACGGAGGTGGTAGCACCTGGTCCTCCTTTTCAAGGCTGCCCAGGTGCCACTGCCACTGACCCAGCCCCCAGGCAGGCTTTTGAGAGACCGGTAGTGCAAAAGCCCCAGCTTCTTCCCTATCACGTGAAATGACCTCAGGTGACTTTCCCAAACATATTTAGGTTCTAATTAAGGAACTAAACAAACAGGCCAACTGGTCTAGGGTAATAAAGACACACACATATTTATACAGTTCTAAATGATGTGTACAATGTAACAGCATTTACCTTTTATACATTTCTGAGACTTCAAAAAGTTTACAAAGTGAAGTGAGCTTACGATGTGTGGAATAAAATAATTCTGGAAAAGCGGGATTGAGAGGGAGATTATAACCACGACTCTACATCTGCAGTCATTTCCGTTACTAAACGCGACACGTACTTCTACAGAAAAGGCCTGAGAGACGGAGAGTCAAACAGCTCTTCTCAACTGGAGTTCTTCATGTGCATCCCAGAGACCAGATGTGATCTGAAGTGCCATTTTCTATTTCCAAGGACCGCACACAACTCTTCCTGCTCTACACAGAGAGGAGGTAATACCTCACATCAACGACCTGAGCCCTCAGGCAATTGGGGTCCCTCCTCCCTTGAACCAGAGAGAGAGGCTCAGAGGCTGCGGCTCCCTTTCCCGGCAGGGAGCGTCTGCCCACACCATGGCCTTCATTTTCCCTGAGCGGCTCTCCCGCCTCACTGATTCATGCCACAGCCCCAGTTGCTGGACATGCTTCACACCTGCCTTCGGAAGGAGGGTTGACTATGAACAGTGTTCATCACATAGAAATACAAATTTCACTTAAACACATAAGACCATATGGGTAGCTATTTATAAATTCAGGGACAGCAAAATGTTACATATTAGATTAGCAACTAAAAAGATGTAATTGTATAGAATTATTTTTCTACAAGCAACACTATGAAGGGAGATACTTCGTTTCCATACTTAACAGAAAAATAGCATTTACTTTTATTAATTCACCTGCATGTAACGACCTGTGCGGCTTGTGGGGTGCCTGCCCAGGATCTGCTGGTCCTCCAGGTAGTGGGACGTGAGGCGGGGTCTGGTCTCAGCCCCAGCACCTGCTGGTCCTCCAGGTAGTGGGACGTGGGGCGGGGTCTGGTCTCAGCCCCAGCACCTGCTGGTGCTCCAGGTGGTGGGACGTGGGGTGGGGTCTGGTCTCAGCCCCAGTACCTGCTGGTCTTCCAGGTAGTGGGATGTAAGGTGGGGTCTGGCCTCAGCCCGCAGTGCTAGCTGAAGAATTACACCCCAAGAACGAGTCTGACCTCAACCCTTTTCTGCTTGACATCTGTATCTTCGGGTGGACTGAAAAATTAAAAGACACCCTTATATGTGTAATACCTGCTTGGTATCTGAAACCACTAATCAAATTGGAAAACACGCCTGATAGGCCAGAGTACTCCATGGTGTTTTGGTCTGGGCAAAGACTTCTTGAGTAAGACCTCAAAAGCACAGGTAACCAAAGAACAAATGGACAAACAAGATCACATCGAGCTAAGACACTACCACACAGCAAAGAAAACAATCAACAAAGCAAAGAGACAGCCCACAGAATGGCAGGAAATATCTGCAAACTTCACCTCTGGCAGGAGGTTAACAAGCAGAATCTATAAGCTTATTATACATTCTCAAACGACTTAACAGGAAAAAGCCGAGTAATTTGATTTAAAAATTGGCAAAAGACCTGAATAGACAATTCTCAAAAGAAGACACACAATTGGCCAACAGGTATATGAAAACACGTTCAACATCCTTAATCATCAGAGAAATGCAAATAAAAACTACAATGAGATATCATCTCACCTCAGTTAAAACGGCTTCTAGCCAAAAGACAGCAATCACAAATGCCAGCGAGGAGCGGGGAATGGAGCACTGCGAGTGGGAAGGTAAATTAGTGCAGCCACAGGGAGAGCAGCATGGAGGTTACCCCCAAACCTAAAAACAGAGCCACCATGTAATCCACAGTCCCACTGCTGGGAACACACCCACAAGAAAGGAAGTCAGCACTCAAAAGCTCTCTACACCCTCAAGTTGACTACAGCTGTTCACAGTGGCCAAGTGCTGGAATCAGCTTTCATGCCCTCATCAGATGCACAGACGAAGAAAATGTGGTGTCTACACAACGGAATATTACTCAGCCATCACAAAAGAATGAGACCCTGTCATCTACAATGTGAATGGACAGGAGCACATGAGCTAAGTGAAATCAGCTGGGCACAGAAAGACAAATGTTGTGTCTTCTCACTCATAAGTGGGAGCAGAAAAAAAAGGTTGAACTTCTAAAGATAGAAGTATAATGTTGGTTACCAGAGCCTGGGAAGGGTATCAGGGATTGGGGTAATAAAGCGCATTGGTGAATGGGTACGAAAATACAGTCGGAGAGAGGGAGTAAGATCTCGTGTTCAGTAGCACAACAGGGTGACCTTAATTGACAAGAACTTGTTGTATGTTTTAAAGTAACTAAGAATGGAACTGCAGTATTACTAACCCAAAGCAATGATTGATCTCAATTACCCTGATGTGATCATTTGTACCCCATTAGTATGTACTATTATGTATCCATAATGAAGTTTAAAAACTTTAAAAAGACAAAACCTAAAGCAAGACTAAATCAAAGGCCCCGACTCTCTCGCATATTTCAGGCTGCTCCGACCCCTTCTGAAATACTGTATTTAATTTGGCTGCATGTTGAGAACATTCTGCTCTGGGAGGCACCCAGAATTGTACCTTTATATACTTGAAGCTTCCCACTCCCAAACATGATTGATGTTTCTTCCTTTTACTGAAAATAAAGGAAATCAGCAAATTTTGACTTTGGTCCGTTTTGATTAAGTATCTTAT